ATTTTATTTTGATATTGTCTTATTTTGATACTAAATGAGATTGTGAGAGATATAAATGCGCCAAGAATATTTTTTGTCTTAGTAACAGAAATCCTTTCTGAGGGTGTCGCCTCGTCTTTAATAGCGAATTTCACTATGATACTTTCTATCTAAAAATAGATTTCGTAGAATCTTCTTGACATCGTGGCGAAATATATAAACCGCGGAGTACAAAGTGTCCGAAAGTGCTTCCAAACATTTCATAAATGTTTTATGAAATAGCAATTGGTTACATCACGAATCATCTTACGATGATTTCTTGCAATCCTTTTCTATTTCCGACCTTCGTTTTCTCAACGACATACAGGAAATGCACAATCACGCCGCTCCACTAGGTACAGCTGAATTAAATTTAAACATGTCGAAATGTATCCTAATTTCTTTCATATTTTCGTTAAAAAGATACGTAAAATCAATGAGCATAAAAAGTATAATATTTACGGCGAAATTGACCTCGCATAATTGATGATAAAACTCTCACCACCATTCAGCCCTCTCGTTTCCAGCAGATAACTCGTCAAACGTACGTAGCTTCGGTAAAAAATTAATTGAAATTATTGTGCGAAATTAGTTGCAGTAGCGCGCGCGCACGCTCGTTTCGGCTTCATCAATCTCGCTTCTGACCTCGTTACTTATTGTCACTAATGGACATATCGTTGAATCCGCCTCTCGAGCTACTGCCAAATTATACGTTATTCGGTAAAAGAGCAGACGCACGTATTGCCAGTGGCTTTCGCCGCGTCTATCATTACGAGAGAGAATGCATTCGTTGCGCTTTCTTTCTTCGCTTTTATTTTTATCGTTAGTAGATGCGGAAACGATATACAGCCGACACAGGCTGTTTTCTCTCCCTTTCGAGCTATCGCATCGGGATAAATTAATTTCGAGAAGAATAGACGCGAAGATATCATCTTTATACTGTTTTTGCGACAGATATTACACGCCTCAGTGGTCGAATTGGTGAGACGCCCGCCTAGAGAGTAGGGAAGTTCATATTCAAACCCTGGCCGAGGTAATATTTTTCGCAATAAATTTTCAGTATTAAAACACTGTGTGATCACTGTCTGGCATTAATGTCGACTAAAAAACTTGATTAAAATTATTTTTTATTAATCTTCTAGTTTCTTCAACAATTTATTTACTTCCGTATTGCACACGTTTAGAGCAAATTGTAAAGTAATAATTGTAAGAATTGGTGAGACGCCCGCCTAGAGTGTAGGGTGGTTCAGGTTCAATCCTGGCTGAAGTAATATTTTTCCCAATAATTTTTTGTACTATTAAAAATACCAGATATGGTCAAGAAAACTCTGAAGTTATTAATTACTGCTGGTGACATTGAAGAATATTCTTATTAATAAGTACCTAAATTTGTTGACGCAGGCTGGCAACCCTAGCGGAAAAAATTACTATAAATAACTACAAAAAATTGACTTGAAATAGAAATTTGTAGAAATTTTTATATCTTCTTTTATATTTCTAATATTCTTAAATCAAGAAATTATTGCAAGTAGTAGAAATACATGAAAATGAAAATGTACAATTTTGTAAAAATTAATACAAAACTTTACTAGTTTTAAAAATTTGAGAAACAACAAAATCTTCAAGAATTAAAACATCTGCTTACTTATAGAATATTACAAAAATTAACAAAAGTGTTCCAATTCTAGCATTTTCATGTTGATTTTTATAACACTTTTTAAATTTACGTAGAATTTCTTAGATTCTGGCAGTTATATTTAATTTTTTTGTAGAATTTTGTAGAATTACTTCCGGCAGGGAAATGTTTGGCCGCGTTTAACACCGTAGTCCGTTAACATTCACGCAACAACAATGATAACGATAATTTTCATGAGGAATGAAGAAGAATATGCAAAGCCAGTGCGTTACACTATATTATGCAACAATGGATATTTTAACGACTTTAATGATTGTAAAGTTTATTAACATTTATTTAAAAACGCGACCATATTGCATAACTTTCCTAGTAGCACAGTGGCTAAACGTTGGTTTAATATTGGTTATATTGGAAATGCATTGGCCAGCATTTTCCAATGTACAGCCAATATTGGCCACGGAATAATTAGATATTACACGATTGAAATAAGGAACTTTTTTCCCATTTTTCCCGGGTTACTTGTATCGCTGCTTACAAATTTTCGAATCGGATCGTTTAATATCGATCTCCTATGTATCGCAATGAACAAAGACTCTCTTGTGCAGTAAAACTCCTGTAGGCAGCGAAAAAATTCCCGACATGGACGACATTACGTTAGAGTCCTCCAGAATTCAAGGCGGAGGAAAAAAAGGCCCCGCTCGTAGTTCCATAGCTACGCTGTCCCGCATTCCGCGATGCGTTCCCACACATACGCGCGCGCGTGCACACCTCCGCCTTTCGATTCACGCATTCCCGACGAAAGAGAGGTGACCGGCGACGAGAAGAGGAGAAAACTACTCGGGGCCGTAGTGAGGGAAGAGCTGAATGAAAAAAGGAGAAGAAAAAAGGGTAGAGGGACCAAGTGAGCGCGGTCGACAAAGAGGCTGGAAGGGAGAGAAAACGGAGGAGTAGACGAGGAGTGGGGAACCCTGGCAGAGACTCCTTGCGCAAGGAGCATGAGGATCCGTAGTGGGAGCCGGGCGTAGCCTTAGCAAAGCCCGCCCACCATCTGCCCTTGAGAACCACGTGCTCTCCACGTTTGCCAGGCGCAAGAGGTCTGTCAGAAACTGTTAGCTTCGTTCTACGAGAGAATGAGAATGCGCGGTGATGAAATAGGTGGCAACCCTAACAGACCCTAACAGTCGGCGATTGCGATGACCCTGTCAAAAAAGGTGTCATCATCTTTAGGATCGTCCAAAGTCATACATATAAATTCTTCCTTTGAAAACATTCGAGGAAAGAGAATGAAGAAGAGAGGGAGAGAGGGAGAGAGGGAGAGAGAGAAAGAGTTAAAGTTCTGAAGAACAACAGTCTATAATAATATCTTGTAATAAAATTCTCAAGTAGTGTTTGCTTATCGATATGATTTACAGAAGCAAACCTGATGAAACTACTCTGTTGCATCTCATTTTACATTTTTAATTTCGTACTTGGAGATGGAGTTAAATAGTTGCTTTCTACGTATCTGCCTTCCGAGCATCGCTGAAAACCCTTCCTTGACGATGGGAGTTGATTCAATTCCAGAACCTCTCTCACCGCAAAAGGTAAATGAAAGCATGAATTGTGAGAAAGAAACTAGAATGAAGAGCGGAAATGGGAAGAAGAATCATTAGCGAGCGCCGCGCGAGGTAAGAGAATGATGTCGTTGACGAGGAAGAGAAGGAAGCAGATGACAAGAAGCACACCGGGAGGGAAGAAATCGAAGAGATCGCAGCCTTACACTGGCGGAGGCAGAGAACGGAGGGGGCAGAGAGGCGGGAGTCGGGCCGAGCGAGGCGGGGCGAGATTTAATCGGTCTTGGGGGGGTCCAGTGGTCGCCACCGCATCAGGGGGGAAGGGAGAACGTTCCGTTCTCTCTCTGAAGAGAGATCGGCTCTTCCGCGGAGGAGCGCGTGCAGTCGCTAGCCGAGGCCTATACTTGCCCGTCGAAGGGTATTGGTTCTCCGACTCGTTGCACCATACCCCCCAAGCAGCGCGCGAGCAACGCGAAACGAACGGACGAACTGAGAAAGAGAGAGAGAGAGAGAGAGAGAGAGAGAGAGAGAGAGAGAGAGAGAGAGAGAGAGAGAGAGAGAG